TTTTTTTTAAAGATAGAAGTAAATGTAAGATATTTATAAAATGGAAATTTTTTTAGTCCTTTTTTTTTCCTACAAACTAATTTATAATAAAAATTTTCTACTAACTTCTTCAAAATCGACGAACTGATCAACAATGTTTTTTGCGTTGCAAAAATTTTTTTGGCATAAGCAATAAGCTAACTCATTACCATCCATCTCGATGAAATCACATTCCTCCTCATCAAATGAGTACTGCCTTAGTGGAAATACTCGATAGTGATCTTGCTCGCTAATACATTCCTTCGTTATCGTATAACTATCTGATAGGTACAGATTATCAGTAATCATGATTGCATAACTATCTGCTAGATGCAAATTATCAGTAATCATGATTGTATAACTATCTGCTAGATGCAAATTATCAGTAATCATGATTGCATAACTATCTGCTAGATGCAAATTATCAGTAATCATGATTGCATAACTATCTGCTAGATGCAAATTATCAGTAATCATGATTGCATAACTATCTGCTAGATGCAAATTATCAGTAATCATGATTGCATAACTATCTGCTAGATGCAAATTATCAGTAATCATAAATGTATAAACACAAATTATCAGTAATTAATTAATATTGCTTAATTCAAAGAATTCTTAATTCGTTGATACAATGAATTGCTCATACTGTGCAAATGTTACTTCTTAAAATATTATTTCATTATTTTAAGTATTTCATATTTATCAAATCTATATTTTTTATTAATTTTAGCATTAATTTTAGTCATTTCTTTGTTTTTTTTTAAAAAATTTTAGCAGTACAATTGAATATTCTAAGTATTTTAGAGTATATTTAAAGTAATTATTCAACTTGAATAATTTAAAGTATAAAATCATAATGCAGAAATTTTTACCATTGCTCACTCGTTTTCGCATCGTTCGACAAAAAATTAATTCAGTAGGTTTAAAATTTTTCGCATAACTAGTACAATCATAGCGGAATTGTTCATGACAATCACTGCCTTCATCCAAATTTTCATCATCACAAATGTAACATTCTAGGCCACTAGAATCTAAATGCTTAATTTTATAAATTTTTGAAATTTTAAAAAAACACATAAAAATAAGTTTATTAATTCGAAATATGTGATTGTACGACTGGTTATATCTTTTAACTTATTTTTTTCATTTTAATTTTTTCTCTTACCTACAATGTTTATGGTTTAAAATTATAAAATAAACAAACCTTTGAATAATGAAAAGCTGAAAATAGCAATTAAAAATGTGCCAAAATCTCTTGTAATCATTTGCTGTGTGATATATTTCGCTGAAAATTTATTTTCAAGAAAAAGACAAATTAATTTCCAAGACTATATGCATACACTTAAATTAATTAAAAAATTACTTATATTATGATTAAATCAAATAATCAAACTTAAATTGCTTTAAATTAATAAATTGCTTATATGAAGGTCAAAGCAAATATGGAAATTAATTTATATTACTAATTTAGCAAAAAAAAAAAAATGACACTATAAAATTATTGTTCAACTCAAATTAATCTATTCTGTCGCTTGATGTCAACTTTTTGATGATATAAACAAAAAGACTTAAAGGAACTTTTTACAAATTAAATTGAATTTCTATTGGAATAAAAAAAAAAGTATTATAAATATTAATGAAAAAAAAAACGACAAAATTTTTGCGACTAATCAGGACATTTTGGCATAAAAATTTGATGAAAAGATGAATTTTGAAATAAATAGTTGATGAGCCACTCAGCGCAATATAAATACAAAATTTTATTCATTTCAATAAAATGACAACAGGTAACACAGGTGTGTCCCTAAATATCCCTTCGACTAATCCGGCACGACCAAATAGTATTTTAACCTCAATTCTCTATATGGACGGACTATAATGGTTTTAACAAATTCACAAAAAAAAAGAAGATATAATTCGAAATTTTAAAAATAAATAATATTTTAAGAAAATTGCTCAAGAAAATTTGAAATATCGAACGGTCAGTTAGAATTTTTATAAGAAAAATTTTGGAAATAATTGCATTTTAGAAATAATCGCAAATATAAATGTATGAATTTTCTTCGCAAAAAAAAGTGTGTAACTGCTCCTACATTAATTTATTACCAAAATTTATTAGCAATTTATTAAATTGTTAATTTTTTATCAAAAAATAGCGAGGAAAGAACTTTTTGAAAACCTGGAAGAATTAATTTTGGGAGAAAAATTTTAATTAATAAAGTGAATTATTTATGGAATCGTTCAAATTTGTAAATTTCATCAGGAATAAAAAAATAGCAAAACGAAATATAAATGTAGGAAATGTCATGAAACTGATTAAAATTTGCAGAAATTAATTTTAAGTTTCAGATACAAAATTTTAAACGCTTTAATTTGCTGCAGAAATCTTGATAATTTCCAATTAAAAAATTATATTTTCAAACTTTTTTTTTAATTTTACAGTTATTATTTTCAAAATTATTTACATTTTTAGTTGAAAAGAGTTTTTCATTGTTCAATTCAGTTTAATCATCGATTCAAATATCATATCATATGCACCTCTTAATGATTCAAAAATGATTCCTATTTCATCCATAATGTGATCTGGAAGTAAATCCTGAAAAAAATCAAAAGAAAAATGCTTAATCGGAAATTATACTTAAATAACACATTTCTCAGAGCTATTGATATGAATCAGTTTAAGGAGAAAAATTTTGAATAAAAAAATTTTTAAAATAAAATTTTAAATAAAAAAGAAAAACAAATGAAATCATAGAATTTATAAAATATACAATTTTATTAGCTTTTTAAATTGTTGACAAAAAAAAAAAATTACGATGCACTTTTCCACTTTTTTTTTCTTATTTTTTCTTGCTTTATTTATTTATTTATTTCCTATTTTTTCTAGTTTCCTTATTTTTAGTTTTTCATTTAATTTTGTTTGCAATTCTTTTTTTTTAAATTTTGCAATTTTTTTAAAAAAAAATCTCTCTGTCCTATTTATTTTAATATGTTTCTTTATTTCATTTATTACAAATTATAAATATTCTAAATCTCACAATAATTTTTTATTTATATGCCTAAACAATGAAATTATATTTATGTTACAAATATTTCTCTCATTCTAATAATGATTTATTAGCATAAAAAATGAGTTATAAATGTATGTTACAATGTTTAATGAAATGAATTATTATTTAAGTCCCATCTTTGCTTCTAACCATTAAGCATATATATCAATTTCAATAACTAAAATACAAAAAATCTAATTAAAAATTTTCATTTGTAATATTAAAAGATTGGTAACATATTGCATTTTATTTGCAATTCTTTTTTTTTTAAAAATCTCTTTGTCCTATTTATTTTAATGAGTTATAAATGTATGTTACAATACAACGAATTCAATTAATTTACATTTAGAAGCATTTTAACTGTAATAATTAAAGAATTTTATAGCTTTCGTTATTTGCATATTATCTTTTTATCCAAAAGAATAGAATTAGTAGCTTTAAAAAATCATTTCAACTCTTTATGGACATATATATAAATTGTTTATTCTATTATTGTGGATAATAAAATTCACAAATATTTGCATATAAGTGAATCCTTTCTTTGATCAACAAATAAATCGGAATTCGTACAAGTTTGAATTACTGATATTTTATAAATCGGATTATTGATAGACTCGCTGGATTACTGATGAATCTTTTACTACTGTCCTATAACGTTTAGGAAAGAAAGAAAATATCACCAAAACGAAGAAAAGAAATAAAACTTTCATCAAATAATTTTTATTCGACTGCACCAAATTAAAAGCTTTCCCAAAATAAAAATGAAATTTACATTTTTCCTTCTTTTGGCTCTATTTGTTGTAAATTTGACAATTAATAATTGTTTTTTTTTTTTTTTTGTGAGTTAAACATTTTTATAAATTGTAAAATTATTTAATAGAAATATGAAAAACTTCCGTAATTTTAAATTTACATTAATATCACAACAAAGCTGCTGAAAATGTTAGAAGCATTTAATTTTTTATGATTAATTACAGGATGTTCCTTCTTTCTTTTCCTTTTTTTTCATATTATTTTATAATATATCCGAAATGAAATTCGTTTTTTTTTTTTTTTTTTTGTCGCAAACATTAATATATTAGATCAGAATTGATGCTATGATATTTAAACGAGCAGTGTCATCACTTTAATCATCAAAAAAAAAACCTTTTTTGATCATTTTCAGTAGCTCTGTTCAATTCTCATTTTATACATTTTAATTCCATTAAATAATCTTTGTATATTTTTTATTACGATTATATGATTAATATAGGAGCTATTTATAATGATAATCCTGTAAATTTAAAATTGCAACAAAAATAATATTAATAGTAGAGATTTAAAAAAAATGTCATGTACTCAACAGAAAGTCACGAATATTGTTCACTTCATTAACTTTTATTAATATTTAAATGTTTATTGATTGTGATTGTTAAAATCAGAACACTGATAAAATCAAATAAGCGATATTTGTAGGACTGTTATTTGTCCTTTAGAAATAAAAGACCAAATTAATTTTGGACAAATAATTCGTATAATGCTAGAAATTGCCGGGAACATTTTATCACAGCATTTTCAAATTAAACAAATTTTAAAATTTAAAAAATATTGCATGATGCAATTAGGAAGGGATGAATTACTTCGCCAGCAATATATTACGAATTAATTGTTTAAAATTGAGTGAATCGTTTATTAGATATTTTGTACTATCTTTATTAGACATTGCTGATCAATAATGCAATTATTGCAACCATTTCAGGAATAATTGATTCCGTTCGAATTACTGTTGCAAAAATCATTCTCGAATATTTACATAAAAATGTAAAACATCAGTCGATATTCAATAAAAACCAAAGCAAACATTAAAAAAAAATACATAGTACCAAATATCTGCATTAAAAAGAAGTAAAATGGAAAGACCTAACGAATGAATGTATATCATCGATTATACTATGAACACTTCCAGCCCTCTTCCGGCACACAATACGAATATTCCAGTCTGCCACTATTCCATCTTTCAATAACGCATGAATGCAAATGAGTGTCGCAAAAGCAACCTTTGTCTCTGGAAGAGGAATTTCTCTGTAGTATTCAGAAATCTTAAACATAAGCATTAAAACTTCTAATGAAAAAATAAATTTTCATAAGATCAAAACGCGCTTACGTCCATGACTGATTCTCATTTAACCTGCACCAAGCCTCTGGTTCACGCTGATCGTAGCAAGCTTCTGCAGAAAAGCACTCCTTCCTTCTGCAAATAATTCTTACAATAAAATAAATGAACTCTTTTAATTCGCATTTCTCAAATTTGAAGACAATTAATAGACAAAGCAATTAAGAGAAACATCAAATCTAAATAAAATAGTATATAATCTTCAATGAAAGGATACATTAAACAACCCTAGTGATAATATAGGCTTTATCAAATGACTTACCTGCCGTCACTTTCAACAAATCCTCCTTTCGTGAATTTGCCTCTGGTACTACTGTCACCAGCATGTTCATCACTGGCACTATTGTCACTTGCGTATTCGCTTGCAGCACTAACTTCACTGCCGTACATTCCTCCAACATCACTATCACTCTCATATTTATCTCCGGCACCACTTTCACGACCATGTTCTGCCTCGATACGACTTTGACTACCATGTTCTTCTCCGGCATGACTTTCATTGCCATATTCTGCCTCGATACGACTTTGACTACCATGTTCTTCTCCGGCATGACTTTCACGACCATATTCTGCCTCGATACGACTTTGACTACCATGTTCTTCTCCGGCATGACTTTCACGACCATATTCTGCCTCGATACGACTTTGACTACCATGTTCTTCTCCGGCATGACTTTCATCTGGCCATATTCTGCCTCGATACGACTTTGACTACCATGTTCTTCTCCGGCATGACTTTCACGACCATATTCTGCCTCGATACGACTTTGACTACCATGTTCTTCTCCGGCATGACTTTCACGACCATATTCTGCCTCGATACGACTTTGACTACCATGTTCTTCTCCGGCATGGCTTTCATTGCCATATTCTGCCTCGATACGACTTTGACTACCATGTTCTTCTCCGGCATGACTTTCATTGCCATATTCTGCCTCGATACGACTTTGACTACCATGTTCTTCTCCGGCATGACTTTCACGACCATATTCTGCCTCGATACGACTTTGACTACCATGTTCTTCTCCGGCATGGCTTTCATTGCCATATTCTGCCTCGATACGACTTTGACTACCATGTTCTTCTCCGGCATGACTTTCACGACCATATTCTGCCTCGATACGACTTTGACTACCATGTTCTTCTCCGGCATGGCTTTCATTGCCATATTCTGCCTCGATACGACTTTGACTACCATGTTCTTCTCCGGCATGGCTTTCATTGCCATATTCTGCCTCGATACGACTTTGACTACCATGTTCTTCTCCGGCATGACTTTCACGACCATATTCTGCCTCGATACGACTTTGACTACCATGTTCTTCTCCGGCATGGCTTTCATTGCCATATTCTGCCTCGATACGACTTTGACTACCATGTTCTTCTCCGGCATGACTTTCATCGCCATATTCTGCCTCGATACGACTTTGACTACCATGTTCTTCTCCGGCATGACTTTCACGACCATGTTCTGCCTCGATACGACTTTGACTACCATGTTCTTCTCCGGCATGGCTTTCATTGCCATATTCTGCCTCGATACGACTTTGACTACCATGTTCTTCTCCGGCATGACTTTCACGACCATATTCTGCCTCGATACGACTTTGACTACCATGTTCTTCTCCGGCATGACTTTCACGACCATGTTCTGCCTCGATACGACTTTGACTACCATGTTCTTCTCCGGCATGACTTTCACTGACCATATTCTGCCTCGATACGACTTTGACTACCATGTTCTTCTCCGGCATGACTTTCACGACCATATTCTGCCTCGATACGACTTTGACTACCATGTTCTTCTCCGGCATGACTTTCACGACCATGTTCTGCCTCGATACGACTTTGACTACCATGTTCTTCTCCGGCATGGCTTTCATTGCCATATTCTGCCTCGATACGACTTTGACTACCATGTTCTTCTCCGGCATGACTTTCACGACCATATTCTGCCTCGATACGACTTTGACTACCATGTTCTTCTCCGGCATGGCTTTCATTGCCATATTCTGCCTCGATACGACTTTGACTACCATGTTCTTCTCCGGCATGACTTTCACGACCATGTTCTGCCTCGATACGACTTTGACTACCATTTTCTTCTCCGGCATGACTTTCACGACCATATTCTGCCTCGATACGACTTTGACTACCATGTTCTTCTCCGGCATGACTTTCACGACCATGTTCTGCCTCGATACGACTTTGACTACCATGTTCTTCTCCGGCATGGCTTTCACGCCATATTCTGCCTCGATACGACTTTGACTACCATGTTCTTCTCCGGCATGACTTTCACGACCATATTCTGCCTCGATACGACTTTGACTACCATGTTCTTCTCCGGCATGACTTTCACGACCATATTCTGCCTCGATACGACTTTGACTACCATGTTCTTCTCCGGCATGACTTTCACGCCATATTCTGCCTCGATACGACTTTGACTACCATGTTCTTCTCCGGCATGACTTTCACGACCATATTCTGCCTCGATACGACTTTGACTACCATGTTCTTCTCCGGCATGACTTTCACGACCATATTCTGCCTCGATACGACTTTGACTACCATGTTCTTCTCCGGCATGACTTTCACGACCATGTTCTGCCTCGATACGACTTTGACTACCATGTTCTTCTCCGGCATGACTTTCACGACCATATTCTGCCTCGATACGACTTTGACTACCATGTTCTTCTCCGGCATGACTTTCACGACCATATTCTGCCTCGATACGACTTTGACTACCATGTTCTTCTCCGGCATGACTTTCACGACCATATTCTGCCTCGATACGACTTTGACTACCATGTTCTTCTCCGGCATGACTTTCATTGCCATATTCTGCCTCGATACGACTTTGACTACCATGTTCTTCTCCGGCATGACTTTCACGACCATATTCTGCCTCGATACGACTTTCACTACCATGTTCTTCTCCGGCATGATTTCTACGACCATATTCTGCCTCGATGCGACTTTGACTACCATGTTGTTCTCCGGCATGACTTTCACGACCATGTTCTGCCTCGATACGACTTTGACTACCATGTTCTTCTCCGGCATGACTTTCACGACCATATTCTGCCTCGATACGACTTTGACTACCATGTTCTTCTCCGGCATGACTTTCACGACCATATTCTGCCTCGATACGACTTTCACTACCATGTTCTTCTCCGGCATGACTTTCACGACCATATTCTGCCTCGATACGACTTTCACTACCATGTTCTTCTCCGGCATGACTTTCATTGCCATATTCTGCCTCGATACGACTTTCACTACCATGTTCTTCTCCGGCATGACTTTCACGACCATATTCTGCCTCGATACGACTTTGACTACCATGTTCTTCTCCGGCATGACTTTCACGACCATATTCTGCCTCGATACGACTTTGACTATCATGTTGTTCTCCGGCATGACTTTCACGACCATGTTCTGCCTCGATACGACTTTGACTACCATGTTCTTCTCCGGCATGACTTTCACGACCATATTCTGCCTCGATACGACTTTGACTACCATGTTCTTCTCCGGCATGACTTTCATTGCCATATTCTGCCTCGATACGACTTTGACTACCATGTTCTTCTCCGGCATGACTTTCATTGCCATATTCTGCCTCGATACGACTTTGACTACCATGTTCTTCTCCGGCATGACTTTCACGACCATATTCTGCCTCGATACGACTTTCACTACCATGTTCTTCTCCGGCATGATTTTCATGACCATATTCTGCCTCGGTACGACTTTCACTACTGTATTCTCCTCCAGCACGACTTTCATTGCCGTATCCAGCCATGTCACCACTATCACCTCCATATGTGTCTCGAATACTGCTGTTACCGCCATATTCATTCCTTACATCACCGTCATATTCATTTACGACACCACTCTTATTGTAATATGTGCCTCCGACACTACTTTCATTACTATATTCATCTGTTGTCGCTACATTTGCAGTAAATTCTCCTTCGGCACCACTTTCATTGCTGTAAGCGCTCATGTCATCAGTATCACCTCCATAGTCTCCGACACTGCTATTACCTTTATATTCACCAACAGCGGTTTGTTTCTTGTCACTACTGTTACCGTTGTATTCATCTCCTACACCACTGTCATGCTCATGCAGGGCACTACTCTTTTTGCATTCACCGCCAACACATCCATTGTCATGTTGTTCTGTTACCGCTGTATTACTACTATAACGTCCGGTAAAGCTTCCAATGCGATACTTTTCTCCTACATGATTTTCACTGCTATTTTCTCCGCCGGCACTACTTTCACTGTTGTATGTACTTCCAGCACGACTTTCACTGCGATATGTGCTTCCACTACGACTTTCAGCATGATGTTCCCCTCCAGCACGGCTTTCAATGCGATGTACGCTTCCGGCACGACTTTCACTGCTATATACGTTTCCAACACCACTTTCACTAAGATGTGCTCCTCCGGCAAAACTTTCACTGCGATGTTCTTCTGCAGCAAAATTTTCACTGCGATGTTTTCCACGGCTTTCACTACGATATACGCTTCCGGCACGACTTTCACTGCTATATACGCCTTCAACACTACTTTCACTGCGATTGCGATGTTTCCCTTCAACACGACTTTCACTGCGATATACGCCTTCAACACGACTTTCACTGCGATTGCGATGTTTCCCTTCAGCACGGCTTTCACTGCGATATACGCTTCCGGCACGACTTTCACTGCGATGTTGTCCCCCAGCACGACTTTCAATGCGATATATGTTTCCACCACGATTTTTATTGTATTTTTCTCCTCCGGCACGGCTTTCAATGCGATGTACGCTTTCGTCACGACTTTCACTGCGATATACGCCTTCAGCACTACTTTCACTGCGATGTTCTTCCGCAGCAAAATTTTCACTGCGATGTCTTCCACGGCTTTCACTACGATATACGCTTCTACCACGACTTTCGCTGCGATGTTCTCCCTCAGCACGACTTTCAATGCGATATATGCTTCCACCACGATTTTTATTGTGATTTTCTCCTCCGGCACGGCTTTCACTGCGATATACGCTTCCGGCACGACTTTCACTGCTATATATACTTTCACTGCGATGTTCTTCTGCAGCACTACTTTCACTGCGATTGCGATATTTCTCTTCAACACGGCTTTCACCGCGATATACGCTTCCGGCACGACTTTCGCTGCGATGTATTCCTCCAGCACGACTTTCACTGCGATGTGCTCCTGCGGCAAAACTTTCACTGCGATGTTCTTCTGCGGCAAAATTTTCACTGTGATGTTTTCCACGGCTTTCACTACGATATACGCTTCCAGCACGACTTTCGCTGCGATGTTTTCCTCCAGCACGACTTTCACTGCGATGTGCTCCTGCGGCAAAACTTTCACTGCGATGTTCTTCTGCAGTAAAATTTTCACTGCGATATACGCTTCCGGCACGACTTTCGCTGCGATGTTGTTCCCCAGCACGACTTTCAATGCGATATATGTTTCCACCACGATTTTTATTGTGTTTTTCTCCTCCGGCACGGCTTTCACTACGATATACGCTTCCGGCACGACTTTCACTGCTATATACGCCTTCAACACTACTTTCACTGCGATTGCGATGTTTCTCTTCAACACGGCTTTCACCGCGATATACGCTTCCGGCACGACTTTCGCTGCGATGTATTCCTCCAGCACGACTTTCACTGCGATGTGCTCCTGCGGCAAAGCTTTCACTGCGATTGCGATGTTTCCCTTTAACACGGCTTTCACCGCGATATACGCTTCTGGCACCACTTTCGCTGCGATGTTGTCCCCCAGCACGACTTTCAATGCGATATATGCTTCTGGTGCGACTTTCACTGCTTCCGGCACCGTTATTACCGTTATATTTGCCACCATCACTGACATCACTGTATGAACACTTCCAACCTTCTTCAGGTACACAATACGAGTATTCCAGTCTGCCACTGTTTTTTCTTTCGATTACGCATGAATGCAATTTAGAGTCGCAAAAGCAACCTCTGTATCTGAAAGAAATTTTTCGGTACTATTGAGCAAGCCAAGAAAATTCTTATGTATATTAAAAAGCAGTTTTCTATAAGAATAATTAAAATGTGCTTACGTCCATGATTGATTCTTTTGCAGTATGCACCAAGCTTCTGGTTCACGTTGGTCGTAGCAATCTTTTGCAGAAAAGCACCCTTTCTTTCTGAAATTTTTTGTCTTATTATTACTCATTTTTATAAACAATTTATATAATGTCAATTTATGCATATCATAGTATGTCAATGCGACAGTATCAATGATTTATTAATAATATAGGAAAGCTATATGACTTACTTGCCATCAGTTTCGACAAATTTTCTTTTTACATAATCACTTCTTGCACTATCATCACCATCATATCCTCTTTCAGCATCATGTTCATCGCTATGTACGTTCTCGTCACCAACATTACCACCTTCACCGTCTTGCGTGCTTCTGTCATTGTATGAACAATCCCAACCTTTTTCAGGCGTACAGTACGAGTATTCCAGCTTGCCACTGTTATTTCTTTCAATAACGCATGAATGCAACTTAGCGTCGCAAAAGCAACCTTTATCTCTGAAAAAGGACTTTTTCAGTACTACTGAGAAATTCTAGTCACAAGCATTGAAAATTCTGATTAAAACAATTAAAATGCATTTACATCCATGATTGATTCTCATTTAACGTGCACCAAGCCTCTGGTTCACGCTGATCGTAGCAAGCTTCTGCAGAAAAGCACTTCTTCCTTCTGCAAATAATTCTTACAATAAAATAAATGAACTCTTTTAATTCGCATTTCTCAAATTTGAAGACAATTAATAGACAAAGCGATTAAGAGCAACATCAAATCTAAATAAAATAGTATATAATCTTCAATGAATAGGATACATTAAACAACCCTAGTGATAATATAGGCTTTATCAAATGACTTACCTGCCATCAGTTTTAACAAATTTTCCTTTAGTATAATCGCCTCTTGCACTATCATCGTTATCATATCTTTTTCTGGCACCGTTATCAGTGCCATATCCATTTTTATTACCATCATCAGAGTCATATTTGTACCCGACATCACATTCACTACTACCTGCACCGCATTTCTTCACATTAATGTCAAATTTATCCTGATTAAAGAAAATAAAAGTTAAAAAATTGAAATATAAATGAATTCTGTGCCTTTTTCGTTTAAATATTTGTAGTTGTTGGATGGAATTCGTTATGACTTTTTTCTAATCAATTTTAGCTGCTGAATTGGAAAAAACGAAAGTGCTTTTTCAAATTATTATTCTAATTTCCTATTCATCCCTTATTTGCTACAAAGTCTTGCAATACCCTATAGGAAGCCAGCCATGGTTTTTGATTTAATTTAAAAAAAAAATTTTTCTTGTAGAAATAAGTTTATAAAAGTTACATGATCATCTGAATGTGATGTACAAGGAAGGATCGCAAGAGCAGTTAATATGCCAAGCGATATTAGAAATTTGTGCATTTTCCTTCCTAGAAAAAGCAAAAATTTTACTTCCATTTTTATAATGGATACGCAACGACAGGTTATTCCGAGTTGGAATAGTATTTTTTTTTATTATTCTAATTTAGGAACTTCAAACAAAAAGCATAATAAAAAAAATTCGTAGTTTCATATCTAATCTTCTTAATTTAATCTCCTAAAACTACCTTCTATCCTAAGAATTTAAACTTGTAGAATTTAATTAAAGATGATACCAATATTCATTCGAAATTAACATCATTACCAATAACTGATATGAACCATTAGTTTTCAAAAAAGTTTAACAACTAGTAAACCTTAGTTGAAATGACACGAGAAATAGAAGGATCAAGCGATCAAGAAAAACAAATTATCCATCTTTTTGGTGATTCAGAAATTGCTGCTGCCTTTATAAATGAATTAAGTGTACAATTGAACAGATGTTTGCTTTTTTTTTTTGTTTTTAAGAAAATTATATTGCTAGATTATTTGTACAAGTTGATGAAAAACACTGTTTTCATGCTTCAGAATATGAACTTAAGTTCTAACCTCTGTAACACAGCTGAATCATTTACTATTGTTGCTCCTCAGATATTGAAAAGTTAGCATAGCTGCTGATCAATCAGAATATTCGAGATTTACGACAGTGACATTATCGTGAATAAACTAATCCTGAAAGTTTTTCTCACATTCTGATTTAGTCCAACTTTTTTTTTTTCAAGATGAATTAAGGCTCTTCTTACTTCAGTTCACAACTTTTTGTAATAAGTGATCAGATCAGTATTAGATCAGTGTTGATGATTAATAACTAAGCAGACTGACTAATTAATACTTTTTTATCTGCTGCTTAATATGAAAGCATGTGCAAAGTTTAATTTATTTAACTTCATTTGTATGGTGTTTATTTTCAAACAATTTTTTCTTAAAAAGTGAATTCTCAATTTTTTCCACTTTGTGTTATTATTATTATTTTTCTTCAAATAAAAGAAATAAAATTCTTAAAACAATTAAATTATTAATGTTGTATTCTCCTTTCTTCTCCATTTTTGAGTTATGACCTCAAGAATTTATTAATTTGGTGCAGTGGTCAAACTTCATATATGAGATATGAATTTCGATCGGTGCTGGAATATGTGATTTATTCTAATCAGTTTTAATGATAATTAGCAATGCCCGACTTCAGCTTTGTAATTATATTAAGCTTACATCTGTCTGCATATGGGTTTATGTGCTTCCATTTTCAAAATATTCACTTCTGGATAAATCATTTTATAGATCGTGTAGAGCACTCTAAAATAGTAAAATTTAGCAAGTACAAAATTAACTAATTACTAAGGGCATTAAGAAAGGATAATTACAATCTAAGAATTTGCCATTTGTATTTTTGATAACAAAATGATTATTATTTTCTCCAGTACAATGATTAGCTATGAAAATATGCAAATATTTAAGTTTATTCTAAAATTTACGAATTAAACTATTTAATAAAATCAAAGCAAAATGTAAGTGTTTTTTTTCATTCTTCCAAAATTTCCCATCTTTCTTCAATTTTCTGCTATCAACAATGTGAATGGAATCATCAGTGAGCAAATTTTCATAAAAAATGCAAATGTATTTTTCAAAAGAATAAAGTTACTTTGAATTTTTGGTTCATTCCAAAACAGTACATTATGTATTAGCAATGAATCATTGATACTTTCAAAACACATTTTAAAAGTACAAAAAAGTTTGCTTCAAAATACATGCATAAGTGACAGCTGAAACTATCAATAATAATAATAATATTATTCAGCTTATACCAAATTATTATGTCAGTTCATTTAAAAAATTTGAGCTAATATAAATTTTTGTGTACAAAACTGAACTATTACATATTAAATAAATTAGATTATTGCAATGAAAAGATAACAAACAAACTTAACAAAAATTAATTTGTTAAAGTAAACAAAGCAGTAAGGAAACAGCAAAATATCACTAAAAATATTTTAATAAAAAAATGAATATTAGCTGTCTCAAGCATATTCAATCATTAAAAAGGATTGCATAACTATAAATGCTTATAAAAGAAATTAAAGAAGCAAATTTTACTTGCTGCATTTAAACAATTTGATAGATTCCAATAATTTTACTCTATTCCTTCCCTTTCATTCCGTGATTGCAGTGGGTAAATTTTGGAAAAATAAGGTTAACTGAATAATGAATTCGTGTTTTGACGGAAAATAAAAACAAAATTTAAAAAATTATTTAAAAAAATAATTCTTTTTTTGTTTAAATAGGCTTTTGTTTTTGTTGCAACAAGAAAATTTAATTACGAATTTATATAGAAGCATAAAATTTTATAAGCACTTGACAAGCACATCATTACAGTTCCTAATAAAATTTTGATTTTCAGCTTTGATATTTAGAGTTCAAAATTATTTATAAAAAAAATGAAATGATAATTTGAGTAAGAAAAGGTGGGAAATATTCAATTATATTAAAAAAAGATATTTTGTCCGCTGCAATAAAAAATGTTACTAAAGTTCAATCATTCGTTATTAACAAAGATTATAGATCGTATTGATTACTGCGATGAAATATAAAAGCGCACTTAAATCAAAATCTTTTATTTGAATACTGAAAATGCAAAATAAAAATATATAAAAAGTATATATATATAAATATAGATAAAAAATAAAAAGGAAAAAGTTTTATCAATTTAAAATTAAGCTGTTTGAGAAAAAACAACTGAATTTTAAGAATTAAAATTATGCCTAAAGAAAATAATCCAATAAGACTTTATAAAAAAAAAAAAAAAAACGAAAAACAATACAATAAGAAAAAAAAAATTCAGCAAAAAATAGCCACTGGAATATGTAATACAATAAAGTATGATTACCTATCTATCTAATGCTTCTCGACAGCAAATAGATGGTCAAAACATTATTTAAGAAAACTAATTAGCATGATCTCTTGATTAATGACTTACATTCCATAATAATAATAATAATTGATCTCATTTATAGAATTTTTCTTAACATTAATCTTAATTTACAAGTCTCTATTTTTTTCAGCACAACGAATTTTACCGAATAACTTATACTATTTTCTATTCAAACTATTATTTCATCCCAACATTAATTCAAAAATTTAGATATTAAAATTGAAAATTAATACAGTTAGGAAATTATTCAATGGCGCAAAAATTTTCAATTTGCAATTACTTATAAAAGTTTATTTTCTTGAAAGAATTTAATATCTCATTGTTTGTTCTTTTCTTTCACAACTGTACTTTAACTTACTTCTTTTTATATAAAGTAACTACAGGAAAAAAAAATTCTCAATTTGTTAAAAAGAAACAACAAAAAATAAGAAAAGAAAATGATAGTAACGAATTCATAGATTATTTCATTCAATTTTGAAACATTACAATCATTTTTATTGATATTACTTTACATCTCACAATGTCATCGAACAGAGAAAGCTCATTTTACCTTTTCATCAAATTTCTTTTTTTTTTTCTCTAGCATTTACCCTTTCAAATTTTTTCAACCTTTCACCATCTTTTTCAAATGTGCTAACAGTTTATTCATTATGGTTGGTCATTTTATAGTTTAAATATTAAAATATGCTTTTATAATTAAGTTTTGCGCAAAAATTCATCAGCAAAATTAATAAAACTTTCAATTAATAATGGTTTTAATTCAATTTAAGAATTAAAATTAAATTTAATTTCAAATTTAAATTTTGAATTTTTTAAAAATCTTAAAATTTGTGATAGTTTTCTTACATTTAACATGAAAATTGGTTCTAAATTATCAATTTTAATTTTAATTAAGTGTCAAAACTGCTAAAAATAGCAATATTTTGAAGTTAATTCATTATGTTTTATGCATTGCACTGGGGCGGGTCACATATGGTTGGTCATTTTATAGTTTAAATATTAAAATATGCTTTTATAATTAAGTTTTGCGCAAAAATTCATCAGCAAAATTAATAAAACTTTCAATTAATAATGGTTTTAATTCAATAAAATTAAATTTAATTTCAAATTTAAATTTTGAATTTTTTAAAATCTTAAAATTTGTGATAGTTTTCTTACATTTAACATGAAAATTGGTTCTAAATTATCAATTTTAATTTTAATTAAGTGTCAAAACTGCTAAAAATAGCAATATTTTGAAGTTAATTCATTATGTTTTATGCATTGCACTGGGGCGGGTCATATATGGTTGGTCATTTTATAGTTTAAATATTAAAATATGCTTTTATAATTAAGTTTTGCGCAAAAATTCATCAGCAAAATTAATAAAACTTTCAATTAATAATGGTTTTAATTCAATAAAATTAAATTTAATTTCAAATTTAAATTTTGAATTTTTTAAAATCTTAAAATTTGTGATAGTTTTCTTACATTTAACATGAAAATTGGTTCTAAATTATCAATTTTAATTTTAATTAAGTGTCAAAACTGCTAAAAATAGCAATATTTTGAAGTTAATTCATTATGTTTTATGCATTGCACTGGGGCGGGTCATATATGGTTGGTCATTTTATAGTTTAAATATTAAAATATGCTTTTATAATTAAGTTTTGCGCAAAAATTCATCAGCAAAATTAATAAAACTTTCAATTAATAATGGTTTTAATTCAATAAAATTAAATTTAATTTCAAATTTAAATTTTGAATTTTTAAAAATCTTAAAATTTGTGATAGTTTTCTTACATTTAACATGAAAATTGGTTCTAAATTATCAATTTTAATTTTAATTAAGTGTCAAAACTGCTAAAAATAGCAATATTTTGAAGTTAATTCATTATGTTTTATGCATTGCACTGGGGCGGGTCATATATGGTTGGTCATTTTATAGTTTAAATATTAAAATATGCTTTTATAATTAAGTTTTGCGCAAAAATTCATCAGCAAAATTAATAAAACTTTCAATTAATAATGGTTTTAATTCAATAAAATTAAATTTAATTTCAAATTTAAATTTTGAATTTTTTAAAAATCTTAAAATTTGTGATAGTTTTCTTACATTTAACATGAAAATTGGTTC